ACAAATTGGGCTAGCTAATATTTTCAGTTTTAGCTTAGTGATGTTTTATTTAATTTTTGTATCTGAGTTTCTGGGGTAATAGGATGTTTATATACTCAAATTATAGATTGAATATGAAACTTTAGATAGTCCTAATTTTCTGCTTTTTGAAAGTTTCATATTTCTGCAATGACTTCTCTTTTCATATTTTCATTACCTTAGCATCTTTTATTAAATTTCCAATAGGCTGATTTGTTAGCCAAGGATGTAAAGTTAAAGGTACATTTGACAAGAAGATGATCTGAATTTCTATATTACATTTTTATCTTTTGACAAAACTGAATATAATCATCTTCTATAAATATATAATTCAGTCTAGTTGCTATAGTATAGCTACTATGTATTATTTGAAAAAAAGTAATAAAAAGCTTATTTGTTGCTAATTCTGCTGTATTAGTAAAGCCATTCAGACTCTTTTGAAGTTTAGCTCTTATAGAGTCACTATGTGCTTCTATCTGACTAATTCTGTTTTTTTGTGAATTAAAGTTAATATTGAAGTCACTTGCAACTATATTAATAGCTTCTTTGTCTAATATAGAAACTCAGTTGTTCAAAAAAATAGTTCTTTCTGCTATATTTGGAGATGTATAAATATTTGAAATTCTAAATAGTCTATACTTAAATTTTAAGTTTGCTATAATTACTCTGCTATTATAATCTTCTTTTACATTCTTGAATATGATATCTCTTCTACTCACAAGAATAGCTTATTTTGTTATCAAATATAAGTCATGTGCCCACTGTTAGGTAATAAATTCTCTTAGCTTTTTATCATTAAGATTAGTTTCTTGTAGCATTATTATATCGAATTGATATGATTTGAGTAATATTAATATTTTTTGATACTTGCACCTATTGTTTAGGCTTTTCATATTTAAAGTAGCTATTTTTAGTAAACAATTTATTAAATCTGATTAGATTTAGTAAGCGAGACTTGTTAGATCTCATTTTTTTTTAACCTTTTGTATAGATTACACCTATTAGCATCAATTACAAATTTTTGTCTTTTTTCTTTTTTTTCTTGAATACTACTGTAAAGCTATTATCATTAGGTTCTTGAGCAGTTTCCTAATCATCTATTAATTTATCTCTATTTTTGCTTATACAGATTGTTTCTTTAAGTTCAGTATTTATAGGCTTTTCTGTTAAAGCTGTCTCTTTCTCTGAGTTTATATCTAGTATACTTGTCTCTTCAGTATTATTCTCATTTGTAGATACTGAAATTACTTCTATTTCTTTCTCTTTCCTTTTTTTTTCTAGTTGTATATTACTATCTATATTCATTTCATTTGATATCAGATCTTATACGAGTTGTGTTCAGAGAAGGTTTCTTCTACTCATAATACATTGTCTTCTGTGTAATAGTTATTATCACTAAGAGTAAATTACTCTCTTACTAAGTTTTGTCTTCTCATATACTTCTTCTTGTATTGTCTCTGGAGTTGTCTAAGTTCAATTGATATTTTGTATTCAGGACAATTCCATTTAATATGTCCAGTTTTGTTATAATAAAAATATAATTTTGACACTTCTCACTATTTGATTAATATTTTTTTTCATAAATATGTATATGTCTTAGTAATTTATCTGTAAGTTCTGAGTCATTTGTTGTATCAAATATAACTACCTATTGATTTAAGCTGATAGAAGTTCATTCATAAACTAAAGGCTTTATAGATATTATTGTTCCTATGTTCTCAAAAACTTCTCTGATTTGTTTTATAATGAGTTTTTTGTGCTCTATAATTATATTTCTAAGCTTAACAAATAGAAAGCTTTTCTTCAAATTCACTGAAATTTAGCTGAATATAGTTTGTTTAAAGATTGTTATACCTTCTGATATGTAGTATTTTTATTTGTTCTCATTGGTAAAGACTATTTCTAAATATGTACAAACTTCCTTGATAAAGTAAGGTTTTGCTACTATGAAGTTATGCTTATTTTTTATATATGCTAGAAATAATTTCATTAATTGAGAATTTGCTCAGGTTTTGTATATCAAATATTAAAGTGTTATTATTTTTTGTATATATTTTACTTCTAAGAGAGAATATAAAGTAAGTTGCTTTTCTTTTTTTTAATTTAATGAAGAAGCTAGACTACTATATTTTTGTTTGTTACTTAGGTTCTTTCTCATTTTCTGTTGTTATATTTGTGTTATTCTTTTAACTTAATCTTCTCTATATACATATGCAGTATTATCTGACTCTACATGACTCTTTCTAGAAGATTCTATTTTTGATACAATCATATTGTTAGACATGTCTAAGGCATTTGAAGTAAGACCTTCAGCACTGTTAACTATATTTGGTGCATTCCTTGTTATTAGTTCTTGTTCTAGAGATTCAGCTCAGTTAATAGATATTCTGTTCGAAGAGTTTGAGTCTAATTCTTATATTGAAGTATGTTCTATGTTTTCATGTATTCTTTAGATGAAGTTGTTGCAACTTTTTTAGCTACACTTTTTAATCTGGTCTCATGAGTTTTGGTTCTTTATTCTTTTGAATTTTCTATTTCTGCATTTGCAAGTTTTTTTTTCCTTGTTGAAGGGCCTTCTATTCTTACTATTTGTCTCTTGTTGTATTTGAAGTCTTGCTTTATTATTTCTTAGCTTAGTTGGTTGTCTAGTTCTGATAATCTACCTAACAGAGTTTTTTTTTAAATTTTTATTTTAAATCATATTAAATTTCTTAAATTTTGAAGTTTTGTTACTTTTCAATTTATATATTAATAAAAATTAAATTTTACTATTAAATATATTGAAAAAAAAGAATAAAAAATCCTTATATAATTTTTTATAATTTTATAAAAATAGTTTATTTTATATAATTTTATTAAAAAATTTTAAATTTTTATTATTTAATGTATATGCATTATAACGTATCTACTTATCAAAATTAAAGATCAAGTATAACATGAAATTAAAACAAACTTCTTTTATATATTAGATTAGAGTTAGAGCTAAGACTGTATTAGGGTTAGAGAAGAACTATAGTAAAAAAATTCCTATCTCAAAATTTTGCAAAGATTTTTTTAATTAGAATACAAAAGGAGGTTTTATAAATGAAAAATTAAGTTATAAGCAATTTCTTTAAAAATTGCTATTGTTTTAATTTTTATATTACATCTGATCTCATGATCTGATTAGTTGGTATTATAATACATAGGCATTAAATTATATAAACCAAAATTTTATTAATTTTAAAATTACAATTATATGTAAAATTTTATTTTTAACAAGTTACTTAGAAGATTAAAATAGGTTATCTTAATAAAAAAAAAAGTTTACTATATACTAATATTAAAATTTTTAGTTTATTTATATAAAATTTTTTATTTTATTAAGATAATCTATATTTAAGTTTTAAGTAAACTTGTTTATATTAAATTTTATATTAGGCTATACAAATTTAATTAATCAGTTTTCATAACCTGATTAGGTCAAAATTTACAAAACTCTAAAAAAAAATTTCAAGTATATATACTATCTGAATAAGTTTTTTCAAAAAATTTATGAGTTGAGGCTTGGATAGTAGTGCTAGAAGAGGGAGTAGCAAAATAGGCTTTCATAGCAGTTTGCAATAACTCATTAAAGAAATATAATTCAAATTGTTCATAATTATAATCAATGAGGTCTGCTGCATAAGCTTCTCTAGGGTAG